GTCAGGAGATCGAGACCATCCTGGCGAACACGGTGAAACCCCGTCTCTACTAAAAAATACAAAAAAACTAGCCAGGCGAGGTGGCGGGCGCCTGTAGTCCCAGCTACTCCGGAGGCTGAGGCAGGAGAATGGCGTAAACCCGGGAGGCGGAGCTTGCAGTGAGCTGAGATCTGGCCACTGCACTCCAGCCTGGGTGACAGAGCCAGACTCCATCTCAAAAAAAAAAAAAAAAAATAGGATCACAGGTCACTGTAAAATAATAATCCTTCATTGAGCCAAAGTGATAATTCAAAGATTTCAAAAAGCAAAAACTTTACTCTTTGATAGAGAAGAGACTCATTTTCCCAACAATCAAAAGACTTAAGAAAGACAGCATGAGGCAGTCTGTCTCTCCTTCTCCCCTCATTTTTTTCAGTATACTTAAAAGTAAACAAAAATCTATTATTATCTCTTATTAATACTACATGAGAATCTCATTCAAAATTCTACCTTTGGATCAGTGTATTTAACAAAACCTTATAAACAAATTCACCCAACTTCAATCAGTTTGACCATACACAATAAGAGTTCCATAAACCTTTTAGAACCGCTCACAATTTTTTTCATTCTCTTTCTTTTAGCTTTTTATATGCATTCCATTTTATCTATCATTCCTTTTATTTCTTAAATTTATTTTTATGTATTTATTTATTTATTGAGACAGGGTCTCTCTCTCTGTCACTCAGGCTGGAGTGCATTGGTGCAATCTCAGCTCACTGCAGCCTAAACCTTCTGGGCTCAGGTGATCCTCCCATCTCAGCCTCCTGAGTAGCTGGGACTATAGGCATAAGGCACCATGCCTGGCTCATTTTCTGCAGTGAGGGGATTTTGCCATGTTGCCCATGGCTGGATATCTGGTTTTTCTTTTTTTCTTTTTCTTCTTTTTTTTTCTTTTCTTTCTTTCTTTCTTTTTTTTTTTTTTGAGACAGAGTCTTGCTCTGTCGCCCAGGCTGGAGTACAGTCATGTGATCTCAGCTCGCTGCAACCTCTGCCTCCCAGGTTCAAATGATCCTCCTGCCTCAGCCTCCCTAGCAGCTGGGATTACAGGTTCCCACCACCACGCCCAGCTAATTTGTGTATTTTTAGTAGAGATGAGGTTTTGCCATGTTGGCTGGGGTGGTCTCGAAATCCTGATCTCAGTTAATCCACCAGCCTCGGCCTCCCAAAGTGCTGGGATTACAGGCGTGAGCCACCACACCTGACCCTAATTTTTTTCTCTTTTTGGGACAGGGTCTCACTCTGTTGCACAGGCTGAGTGCAGTGGTGTGATCACAGTTCACTGCAGCCTTGACCTCCCAGGTTCAATTGATCCTCCCACCTCAGCCTTCCAAGTAGCTGGGACTAGAGGCATGTACCACCAAGGCCAGCTAAAAATATGTGTTATTTAATTTGTCTCAGCAAAACTCTAAGGGTATAGAGTTACCAAAAATATTTTATAAACTTTTTTTAAACTCTTTCTCTCTCTCTATAGGAGACAGGGGTCTCACTTTGTTGCCCAAGCTGGACTAAAACTCCTGGAGTCAAATGATCCTCCCACCTCAGCCTCCTGAGTAGCTGAAACTCCAGGCATATGCCACCACACCTGCCTCTGACAAACCTTTTTAAGAAAACACATTATAAAACGTAACTGTTATTAAAAGTTCATTGTAGGCCAGGCAAGGTGGTTCATGCCTATCATCTCAACACATTGGGAGGCTAAGGCAGGAGGATTGCTTGAGCCCCGGAGGTTGAGGCTGCAGTAAGCTATGTTCGTACCACTGCACTCCAGCCTGGGCAACAAAGCAAGACCTTGTCTCAAAAAAAGAAAGTTCATTTCTAAACTTTTATCTCATTTACATTTATTTATTCTTAACAATTGTGTTTGAGGCCGGGTGCAGTGGCTCAAGCCTGTAATCCCAGCACTTTGGGAGGCCGAGACGGGCGGATCACGAGGTCAGGA